TAAAACCTCAATTGTTTGCTCTTTCAATAGGTACATCTGATTATTTAAAATCATTATTTATAAATAAAGTACATTTATATATATATAAAAAAACTAGTAAAAAATGTGTGAAAGTACTGACGATGATTTACAATTGTGTTCTACAACACTGGCTGCTTTAAATGAGTTTCTCAGAGAAAAGGCAGAAAGAGAAAATCAGTTGCAACATATTTTAGGAAATCAAAATTTAGATATTTCTTTTGATGAGAATTGGGTAAGTCAGTTTTTATTAAATAAATTGTTTTATATATTGTAATATTTTATAGTGATTCATATTTATTTGTGAATTTAGACAAAATATTTTGTAAATATAACTTTTATTCATTAATATTTGACAATATTTTTAATGGTTTAATAATTTAAATTCTAGCAACTAAGTCAATTTTGGTATGATGAAAAGACCACAGATACTCTTGTAAAAGGTGCTATACGATGTACAAAATATAATGAAAAAATTGCATTAATATCTTGCCCTACACTTTATAATAAACTGAAGAAGAATTGTGGTGAGAGACAAGGTATAAAAATACATTATTTGTAATTTAACAATATTACTAAATATGTTAATATTAATGTTAATGATTTATTTTTTTTACAGTAACCATTTTTGAATATGATGAACGTTTCAGGATATATGATTCTGATTTTATATCATATAACTATAAATTTCCTTTACATATACCTAGAAATATGTCAAATTTTTATGATTTGGTCATAGCTGATCCACCATTTCTTTCTGATGAATGTTTAACAAAAACAGCTCTTACAATCAAATTTTTAGCAAAAAAAAAAATTGTGCTTTGTACAGGTATTTTTGACAATCAATTTTCAACTTTCAAGCTTTTAATTCTTTATTCCTATATTACAGGTGCTATTATGAGTGAATTGGCAGAAAGATTATTGAATGTTAAAATTTGCAATTTCGTACCTCATCATCAAAATAATCTTGCAAATGAATTTTGCTGTTATTCAAATTTCGATTTTGATAAAATGTTACTATAAAATGTAGTACAATTATAATAAAAAAATTGTAGTATTCTATGTAATTAATCCAGTTCAATATAAAAAGAAATTTCAACTTTCGGTTATTCATTACTTTCAAATTGTATTTTTGATTTATATCACTTTTAATATTTTAAACTTTGATTAATTATTAATAACAATTATATTAAGTGTATTTATTTGTTATGTGTGCTTTACTTATTATTTAAAGTTAATAATATTTGGTTAAATTATACATATATATAGAATTAAAACCTTGGTTGTTTGCTTTTCCAACAGGTACATAAAATCTGATATTTAAAATTAAATATATTTATATACACATATAGAAAAACTAGTAAAAAATGTGTAAAAACGCTAATAATGATTTGCAATTGTGTCCTGCAACAATGATTAAATGAGTTTTTTAAAAACAAAGAAGGAAGGAAAAATCAATTACATATTTTAAAAACATATTTTAAAAAATTAAGATTTAAATATCTTTTTTTATGACAATTGGGTAAGTCAGTTTTTACTAAATACATTAGTAATATTTTTTAATGATTCATATTTATAAATTTGTGACTTACAAAATATTTTATAATATAAATATAAAAAACATATAATATAAATATAACTTCTATTAATTAATTTTATATTTGACAATTGACATTTTTAATCGTTTACTAATTTAAATTTTAGCAATTAAGTCAATTTTGATATGACGAAAAGACAAAAGATACTCTTATGCTATATGGTATATAGAATACAATGGAAAAATTGCAATACCTTGTACCCTATACTTTATAACAGATCTAAAAAGAACCGTGGTGAGAGATTTAATAATAATAATAATAATAATAATAATAATAATAATAATAATAATAAT